TTTTTTCCCATCCCCGAATCCCAGTTTCTCATATTGTTAATTTCAAAGATATCTGGAGAAATGAATTTTGTGGATTGGCATGCAAATTGTTGCTTTTTAATTAGGAGTTGATTGTCCATTTTGTGCGAGTAATGTTTTTGCCTAGACGCTTCATCTGTATGTTTTCCAAGACAGACTATGAAGACTTTGGTTTCCATATTAAATAGTCAACATTTTGAAGAAAAGTAGAATAAATTCTTAAAATAATCGTTTATAATTAATGTGCGATTTATTTCTTAATATGCTCTTGCAAAACGGTGGCTTCTTTGATCACACCAATCTTGTAATACAATTACTCGATTGAGCTTTAGACAAGGCCCATTGCTCGTTTGAGTTTATTTGTTTTTTTGAACACATCAATCTTGTAACATAAATGCTCGATTGAGCTTCAAAGAGGGTCAATTGCTCGTTTGAGCTTATTGGATTTTCATATCATATAAAGACTTGGGACTCCATCTTAAAAAGTTGTTAAGAGGTGTAATCCAAGCCCTTGCATATTGGTTACGATTTATCCCTTAAAAAAGACATCCATTAACTAAGGAAATGTACAATAAGATTTTAAATTAAACATGCTCACGTTTAACTCTACATATCAGGGAAGTAATTTTTGGTACGTGGACTCATTCAAATGTTAAATGAGAAAATGTCTCCAGACAATCATATCACTGTGATTAAATACAGTGGAGCTTTGGTAATTAATAATTACAAGACAGAAGCGGCATCGATACCCTTTAATTTTGTATTGCTTTTCTTGGTCAATTTTTAGGCTGAAGAAAATATTAATTCGCGAAGGATTTTAGAAGAAAATGATTTCACATTCATAAACTTCACGAATAATTCATACGTCTGCAATCAAAAGGTAAAAGTCATTTTTAAATTGTACTTTAATCTTTTATGAGATAAATGATTAATAATTATCATTTTCATATCTAGGGACCGGCAGATGAAGTTGTTGATTGCTCCCACGGGAAGCAGCTTTGGGGAGCTTTGCAAGGTGAAGTATGAACCTTTATGGATAAATGGAGGTGGGCATTGCAATCTGGAACGTTATCCCGAGTTCATTAAACATCTGAAGAAGTTTGTTCTGTCTCTTGGGAAATCAAAGCCACCTATGGATGATTCTAAAACAGCATCATTAGACTCTGACAATCTGAATAAATCAACAGCAAGCAATACCTCAGACACATTGCAATCAGATCTACCAGATTTATCTAGGAACAGTTTGGATAGTCGAATTGACAATTCCAAGAAGTTGAGCAAGCCTGAAAAGTCTCGATGAGTACTGACCACGTTGACAGGTTGAGGAGGAAAAAAGGCTTGATCTGGTGATTTCTTTAAAGCACATTAATTTAAATAATTATCCTCACCTGAGAGTAGTATTCTGGTTTCTGTGTGGATGTGCGGTCTCCGAGTTGCGAGTCTGTAGTGTTGATCTTGCTTATGGTATCAGTCATCTTGATCATCCGAGCGGAGGGTGAATGAAGGATAACCAAATAGAAAAGAAGACCACCTTCATTTGTTTTCCCCCTTGAAAATCTCATGGATTACTTTGATTTGAGCAGCACATAGTTTCAGCTGTTTCATATCTCCTAATATGTATATTAGTCTCATATTTTTCCTCCTACATTTGCTGTTCGAAAGTGTTGCACATTTACTGTTTTCCCAGAGATTTAACTGTCCACACTATCCATCAGAACTGATCTCGAAATTTCGTTTTTATTGGTTTTTTACTTTTCATAAATCACTTGCTAGAATGAAAAAAGGGTATAAATCTAATAATTAAATTTTGTTTAATGCAATTAAATTATGGTCAATCAAGGCGCTTCAACTGATGTAGCCTGGTTTAACAGGCACTCGTCGTGGAGACATGCTCGCTGGTGTTTCCTGAGATGATATAAATGGTTATTTACACTGGGTCCGGCAGAAATTTAGACAAAACGGTCTTCATCCCCAGTTGATGTGCAAGTTTTTACTTTTTTCCACACATCCCTA